CGTTTAGGATCCAGTATTTATTTAGAATATGTGACGGTACGCAGCTCATAGTGCGCCCGCAGCCCCTGAAGCAGCTCTGCTGGGAGGGTTTATTATCTGCACCACAGCTCTCCCGACGGTTCCTCTAATGTTTTGACTGATATCCACAGAGCAGGTCAGTGGTAATCTCTTCTTCTGATGTTTTCAACCAGCAGCAGCTGTTTAGAGGTTCTGCTGCAAAACGTCTCAGAAAGAGACACAAAGCCACAGTTTGAAACTCTGCTCTGCTCACGTCGCTCGCTGACAGGACAGAGCTGTGAGCGAGTGAGCCGTAAAGTGAATCACATGATGTGTGTTCTTTATTTTATACCGTGTGACTCAAGTTGAGGAGACACCTGCTGGGGATTAGTAGTAGTGCTGGATCACAGTATGATGTGTTTGCATGGACAGTAAGCTGGTTACTCATGTCCATCCAGGTAGACAGGTGCACCTCAAAAAAGCACCAGATAATCAGCTGATCAGTCCGCACGCACACGGGTATTTTTTATAAACATAGTTTTAAAATCTCTGTGTACATGAAAACGCAAAAACAGCGTTTAGAAAAAGGACACGGCATCTCTCTGTGTGACAGCAGCTCGGTTTAATCCTCCCCGTGTGGTTCAGGTACGAGCTCCAGACCATCGGGATCACGGCGGCCAACACCTGGGGCCTGTTCCTGCTGGTGCTGCTGCTCGGGTACGGGTTGGTGGAAATCCCCCGGTCCTACTGGAACGCTTCGCGACACGGACACCTGCTCATCAAGACGTACTTCAAGGCGTCCAAGCTGATGACGGAGAAGGCGGACGCGGAGGAGAACCTGGAGGACGTGATGGAGGTGGGCATCAGGAGGTTACTGTGATCTGTGGAGCTCAGCTCACTGTTCTTACTGTGACGTCTGGTTTCACTGCAGGAGGTGAGGAAGGTCAGTGAATCCATCAAGTACAACCATCCACTGAGGAAGTACATCGATACCATTCTCAGAAAGGTCAGTGAACGCATCTTTAATGACAAACAGCCTCATGACCGATAGATCAGGTGGACTGATCTGACCCGTCCCCTCAGTGCCCCGTGGACTACCAGGAGAAGATGGGCAGGAACATGGACGACTACGAGGACTTTGATGACAAACAGAACACGTATCCCAGCGAGAAGAGCCTGGTGAAGCTCCACAAGCAGGTGAGCGTGAGGGAGGGGGGTCCACCTGTACATCAGGGGTCTGCAGGCCAGACTGAAGTCCTGATTTAAGGACGTCACCTTGAACAGTGATGTGTTCTTGCTTTCTTGCTTGTGGTTTCTGGAAAAATATGTTCTATACTCCACGGCAGAGACAACTGCCTTGAGTTACACACATGTTTGTTAATTTAAAAGATTATTTTGTCCGTTAAGAAAGTCGCAGTTTGTCATAAAAACGGTAAAGAAAGCCGCTCAATGAACCAACATGTTAACGCTGTAATGCTAAGCTAACGTTCACTGCTTGCTTGAAACCAGCTCGGTAACTGAGCTCTGCTCCATGTACAGATGTTTCTCACTGGTGTGTTTAATCCAGCGACTCCTGGTCCTTTCATCACATCATCTGCACGTGGAAGTTAGCTTCACGTCATTAAGAGAAAAGTTACTACGTCACATGCGCGTAGTGCTGGGCGACATGCCGAAAATGTCACCACGCTAAACACATTTCATATCATTCCATATCCGTAATTAACGCCATAAATGTTAAGTTATTATTTCTTTCAAGTTTAAAGGCTGATCTTTGCTCCTGAGTGAAAATTGAAGAAACCAGATGGTTAATTATGTGGTTAAACTTTTCTTTATGGTCAGAATGAGACAAACACTTGATGCCAAACAGCGGATCACTTCACATATCTGAGGTAGAACATTTCAGTCCCTTTTTCCTCAACAAAATAAAAATCTTAATATAAAAAACAAGTGCTAATTCGTTTGTGATACAAATGAATCAAATCAAACATTAATTAACAATATGTTGAACATTTGCTATATTCTTATTGAGGAAAATTATATTGCGATAATTGATTATTGATTTATTGCCCAGCCCCGTGTGCACGACTTTTGGGTTTGTGCTCTTGGTAATTATATATTTTCACAGTCAGTCTTACACTTCAAAGGTTTTACATCAAACTGTGACTTTCTTGATTTTTGAATGTATATTTTAAATTGAGCATCATCATCACGGGTGTGATTCAGGGCACAATTGAAACGGGATTAAAACAGTAGTTGTCTCAGGACCACAGTGGAAATAAGTGTGTAACTTCTGATGTATATTATCACTGTAGATGACATTTTTTATGCATTTATTCGTGTTACTGTCCAAAAAGAAGTCAAAAAGACTTCTGCACATATTTTTTTCCAAAGTAAGGTCCCCTGGTGGTCCACCGAAGTGGGAGGGACTTTGGCTCTCTGTGGTAAATGGTCACGAGTTGCGACCCTAGAAAACGTTTAGACCAAGTGCAGCTGAGAAAGAGAACTGTGGCCTAAACAGGAACAGACGGAGTTACAGGAGGAGTGTTTGTGAAGGGGAGGAAGTGGAACAGGACTCCAACAGGTCAGATCAGCTGTTTGGAGGACCGAGTCATCATGTCGGACCAACAGACAGCGTTCTGTGGTTGATAATCAGACCAGAGTAGGCAGATCTGAGATGCCTGCCGTCCTCTTGAGACGATAAAACAAAATGCAGCACTGAGGTCCAGTAAAGCCAGAAAGGTCACCGACATCAGACACAAACGCAGGATCGTCTTTAACTTGAGCTGTGAGGAGATCTGAAGCCACGATATCAGCATGACGGAGACTGAGGGTGAAATTGGCGTAGAAGATTTTCTGCAGCTTTAAAGTGGATTGTGTGGCAGCATGTTGGGCTCCTGAGTGGAAACAATAAACAGAGTGAATCGTCACACCCCGATCTGTAACCCTCCGAGGGCGTTTAATCTGCCACCATGGTGAATAAATCTCAAAGTTGTCCATGGTTGTAAAGTTCATCCCGGCTGTATTTTCTTCTGTGTTTGTGAGCAGGTGATCTACGCGGTTCAGAGACACAACAGGACTCGGGTCCAGTGGCAGATCCTCCTGCAGCAGGCCATCCATCTGGAGGACGTCGCCAAGAACGAGACCAGTTCGACCCACCAGTTCGTCCACAGCTTCCCGTCCTCCGAGCCGGCCGGCCGGTTCAGCAGATACGTGTACACGCAGACTGTAGGTGGGTCTGAGCGCGCACGCCGGTGCCGGCGCACCTTTCCTACGAATGAGACGTCCACAGAACTCTGATGTCCTCTGTGTGTGTGTGGTTGACAGAGTGGTACTGGGAGTGTCTCCTGAAGCGCTGGTTCTACCGGCTGCTGTCGGTGATCCTGACTCTGTTCAGCGTGGCCGTGGTCTGGTCCGAGTGCACCTTCTTCAGCACCCGGCCCGTCCTGTCCCTGTTCGCTGTGTTCATCCAGCTGGCTGAGCGAGACTACAACTACCTGTACATCGAGGTGGGACACGCAGACGGCATGAGAGGGTGCAGATTAGAGCGCAGAGTTAAAGTCAGCTGACCTGAACTCAGGTCTGTTCAGAGCAGAGCAGAAACCTCAGCAGGCTGTGAGGGTGTTTCCTCTGCAGCAGCTTTACCAAGAAGCTGTCACTGAATTCAGGAACAACCGGAGGAACCAGGACTAAATCTAGTTACCGTGGGAGTCCTGAGCTGTAGTTTCACACCACACGGTTTGCAGCTCACAGTGATCTTTAAATAAATTGGCTGAAAGAAGCAGAAGTCTCAGTTTAAGAGTAACCTGTGATGCGCAGTGGACACTGAGGGACGTGTCCACTTAATCTAACTGCTTTGTGATGACCCCTCTCTCCACCAGATGGCGTGCTTCATCACCATCTTCTTCCTGTGTACCTGCGTTTACTCCACTGTGTTCCGCATCCGGGTTTTCAACTACTACTACCTGGCCTCCCATCACCAGACCGACGCCTACAGCCTCCAGTTCAGCGGCATGTGAGTGACGGACTCTGACTGTCTCCGCTCGGCCTCTTTACTTTAGTTTCAGGACTGCGATGTGATCCGTAATGTGACAAATGAAACCTAACCAGCTAAATATACACATACAGTACAGAGATCCACAGAATTAATCTTTATTTATGAGGCACCTTTCAGGATATCTAACAGGGAGCAGAGTGGAGAGAAGTCCTCTGTTTTCCTCGATGCTCAAAACAAAGCGTCACAAAAGAGAAGAAGACAAGCGACATAAATACTACAATAATATATAAACTCCATAAAATTGAACTAGAATGGTAAATTAGAAAAAGAAGATTATGAGAAATAATGTCGTTTGAATTCAGCAGCTGTTCCTCAGGACAAACAAACGTCTCGATGAAAGTCAGGAAAGCCGACCGTCATCAGATAAAGCGAGCAGCAGCAGGCTTTACTCATGTAGGAAGTATGAGTGCATGCTGGGTCTGTCAAACCTTTCTGTACTCGTGTAACAAGGTCAAAGAACCACGTTTTTGTTACAGACTGTGACTCTGTTCTCCGCAGGCTGTTCTGCCGTTTAACGCCTCCTCTGTGTCTGAACTTCCTGGGTCTGATCCACATGGACTCTGCCATCTCCCACCAGCAGAAGGAGCCGACGGCCTACACCTCGGTGAGCCTCCTCCGTCACTCGCGCGCAGTCTGACGCAGGCTGCGGGCTCAGCTGTGAAGCTGCTGCTTCTCTGACCGCCTTTTCTTTTCCAGATCATGGGATCGATGCGTGTTCTCTCTTTCATCGCTAACGGCTTCTACATCTACTACCCCATGCTGATCGTGATCCTCTGCATCGCCACCTACTTCAGGTGAGACCACACAGACTGTTAGAGTTCAGGCCTGCTGCTCACCGCAGCACTAATAATAATAATAATAACTCTCTCCTCAGTCTGGGGACTCGCTGCCTGAACCTTCTGGGCTTCCAGCAGTTTGTGGGCGACAGTGAAATGACCTCTGACCTGATCGACGAGGGCAAGGAGCTGATCCGACGGGGTAAGACTGATTAGTAACGAACGGCCTGTTAAACGCTGCAGGTTAAACTCTAACCTCAAGGATCAATGTTGTTGTTACAGAGAAAAGGAAGCGGCAGCGGGTTGAAGACGGAGAGAACAGACGCAGGGTGAGTAAAAACTCAGAGCTCCTCCAGGCTACACAGAGTTTTTAACTCCGTCCACATCCAACCAAAGGTCCTTAAAACCTTTCTGAGCTAAACTTCAGCTGTGTTCTTTTCTGCTCAGCAACACTGAGAAGTATAAATGCAGGATGTTTCTCCTGAACGAGCTCCAGACAGGATTCAGGATCAGTGTGAGGTAGTTTAGCGGTCCTGTCGGGCTCCTCGGGTCACGTCAGGGTCACTGAGCTAAAGTGAGCTAAAGGTGAGTCTCCAACACAGCGGGTCAGACTCTGTCTCTGCTCTCTGACGCAGCCGTCTGGATAAAGATGAACTCGCTGGTCTCCTACGTAACCCGGGTCCACTTTATCTTCTAGTTTCAGACGGACCGACTGACTTAGTTCCGGCACGCAGCGTGACTTTAGCTTCACTCGGTGTTCTCAAGCGTTTTCATTGGAGCGTGACGTCACGTGGAAACTCTGAATAGAGCTCATGTTCTGAGGGAAGAACAACGACTTTATTTGGACACTTCAGCCGCGTTTCCACCAAAAGTAGCCGTGACTTTTAGTCCCAGGATCTACTTTTCAAGGAACTAAAAGGCTCTTCAGCCCGTTGTTGTGTTTGTTTCCACGGCGGTCTGAAGCCAAATGAAGCAGCTGACATAAAGACCAGAGGACGGGCATCGTTAGTTAGTAACGTCACCATCCGTGAGCTAAATGTACGTATGAACCTCAGGTTTGATTGGAATATAAAGAAAAACAATGAAGAGACACACGAGTCCAAACAAATGCAATAACAGACTCCTGCACAGAGAAAGCAACACAGACCTGATGGAAACAGAAGAGCTCTGGACCCAGTTCCAGCTGGAAACCCACCGGCTGCTGTGTCCGAGCTACAAGTCTAATGCAGGTGTGGTGAATATTTTATTGGTCTGTAAATATTGAAAAGAGACGAGCCGGAGAAGCAAAACACCCGAAGCGCTCAACTTACAGCGAGTAGCCTCTACTCGACCAATCAGAAACGTGCCCCCCCCGAGCAGGGACCTTAATTTAGACCCCGGTCCCCGCAGTGGAAACGGCGAGTTCCTCCACAGGGTCCTAGTTCCGTGGTAAAGTGTGACGGGGCTGTGAACGCTTCCGTCCACCTGCTGGTAGCAAGAGTGTGTTTGTGTTGCAGGAGTGGAAGGAGCGCTACGGAAACCAGAGGGACGACTACACCGCGAGGAACAGGAGCAGCCACGAAATGAAGGAGACCAGTTACTCGGACGCCGTGGCCCCCAGCAACAACAGACGTAAGTCCCCCGGCGGCTGAACCTGTGTGTCCTGAGGAGAGGTGGCCCTCTGCTGTTAGTAACCAGCTGTTTGTTGAACAGAGGCCAAGTATTCCCGCTCTGGGAGTCGGCCGGAGAGGGACTGCGTCGAGCTGCTGCAGGACGCCGAGCCTTTAGACTTCAACGCCGACACTCTGACGGACGACCCTCTGGACGCGGAGTCCTCCAGGTAAACTTCCTGTTTCCATGGTAATTAAAGGTAGGCGAGACTGCGGTCCGCCTGGGGGGGTCAGACACGCCTGGACCTCATGCAGGAGCCTCCTTCAGCACATGTGTGATTTGTTTTCTGCTGCTGTCATTCAAAATGTTCTGCTGAGCTTGGGCTTTGACCCGCCAACCACCCCGTCCTGCCGCCGTACGGACTTTACCGCTCTTCATAATACGTCTCCTGACTCGTGGAAATGGTAAATGTCCCGGTGCAGAAATGAAATAGATTACAACAGCGTTGTCTTTTGGTTGATAAAACAAAGCAGCTGGGTCAGACGTCTCCCACCATAACCAAATTAAATGTGTAGTTCCTTATAAAAAACATATCATAAGTGTAGGCCTATATTAAAATATGGTAACATATAAAATACAATAAAACAGTTATTTACAGTTTGAATTTGCATCTGGGCTGAATGTAAACAGCTGAACCGGAAGTTTCATCTTCACAATAAACAGAAACAGAGTCCATCTTGGCTGCGTTTGAGCACCAAGAGTAATCGACGTGAAACACAGAGTCCACCTCCTCTCATCTCGACTGCGCTGACAGCTCAGAACATGGACCACCTGCTGAGTGCTTGAACCGGGACGTCGCACAAACCCTGGCGTGTCCTAGAGGACGGTATAATGCGAGACGGAGAAGAGAAGGTGACTATAAGTACACAATGTTACATATATTGTTGTCAGCATGAATGAAAGTCACCACGTTCTGATGCTTCCGTCCTTCGTCCACTAGAGGGCGCTAAAAACAGAAACCTGGGTCGTGATAATAATCGACCTCTACGGCTGCTTTTTCAGCGATCCTCTCTCTGAGCAGCTCTCATGGTAATGAACGGGACGCCGTCTTTAAGCTCTCCTGAACACATCATGGTTTAATCCTGTTACAGGGTAAAAGAGCGAACGTCTGTCAGAGTGAAGGAGAAGCTTTGTTTCCCTCCTGGGTCTGCAGGTCCGCTGTGCTCAGCTCTGTGTTCAGGATGTTCACTTTCAGTTGCGTGTTTTGTGTTTGGCTCTTTCAGACACGCGGGAGGACGGTATCTGTCCATGTCGTCGTCTCGGAGCCGAATATTCGACGACGTCTGACGGGGAGCCACGAACTGGAACAAACACGAGCGTCACAGCCCTCACCTCCACCTGCCTCCACCTGCAGGGCGTGAACCTACCACCCCACCTCCATCTCACGGCTTCCAGGCTGCTTCCTCTCCTCCCAGGATGCATGGTCATTTAAAAACAGGCCACGTGTACAGTGAAGTTCTGGTTTCATGTCCAGCAGCTGTGAAGGAATATTAATGTTACTACGGTTACGCAGACCCTGTGGTGTGAAGGTCTCTGTCAGATATTGATCCTGAGTATTGAATCCAGACGCCCCTCCTCAACTTCCTGTCTGTCTGAGCATGCTCATGAATGTGCGTCTGCAGCAGCTGCATGTCGACACGTCTCATCACTTTAATGAAGGGGTTTATTTATATTTTTTATTCTGTAAGTGTTCATGTTGTGGATTTATTTATCTGTACGTCATTAATGTGATCCGGTCCCTCAGCGTGTGCTGCCGCTCACTGATCACCCTGATTTATACACCATCAGTAACAGTTTCCTGCTGTTTCATTCTTTGATTTTATCACGTCAAGCTGTAAAAAAAAGTTTTCAGTCCTGATTAAATGATGTTGTCAAAATAAAAAAAAAGACTGAATTTAAAGCACTGAAGTATTTTATTTTGAAAAGCCATCTGTCTGAATGTATGTGGATCAGGTTTCCCTCTGTGGAGCCTCAGATGATTTAAGTTTCTACATTCAGATGGAAACGTCTCCTGCTTTGCTCAGGGGCCCCTTGGCGGTAATTAGTGAGGGGCCGCTGCTGTTTCACTGTCCACATCCAGACTGAAAGGGCCGGGAATCGAACCGCCGACCTCCCGGTCTCCAGCTCAGCTCTCTTAAACAGGATCAGCTAAACTCAGACTGCAAAGTTCATCTGGAAAATTCTTCCTCTGTGTTTTAGGCAGGTGAGAGTCTTGAGTCATGTGACTGAGAGATCGAAACCCGATTGGTCAGAGGTCTGATCGATGATTGACAGCCTCAGTCTGTCCTCTGCACGTCGGGTTTGGTCATTGAGTTTCTCCATCTGATGTTCTGAATTTGTGATGAATTGAACCTGAAATGTAGTTTCTGAAAGTGAAACCACAGACTGACTTCAGACAGTTTTCAGAATAAAATCAGTGTGACGTGTTGATCAGCAGGTAGATTTCATCAGAAACACTTTGGCTGGGATTTAAACAGGCTCATGTTTCTTCCTTGTTTGCTCACATGTGATTATTTTCTTTTTTTTCTCCACGGGGAGTTGAAACGGTTCCAGATGTGCCAGTTGTTTTTCACGCCGCCACGTGTTTGTCACCTTCCGCGGTCTGAAGTGAACCTACCCGTGTTTGTGTGTTCAGCTCGTTTGTTACAGGTTTTAACGTCACTGCTGATCATTGATCAAGTTTAGAAAACGTCTCTGTTGCAGCCGCCTCAGCTTCACTCACTTCACTGCAGAGAGAAACTCAATGTTTAGAGAAATCCTCTTCTTCTGTTTCCTGCTGAGAGTCTGACGCTAAAAGGTTTTGGGTCGCCTGCTTTCACGCGCACATGAAGGTTGATTACATCCCGTAGGGTTTAATATGGAGCTGGTCCACCCTTTGCAGCTATAACAGCTTCAGCTCTTCTGGTAAGGCTGTTTACAAGGTTTAGGAGTGTGTTCATGGGAGATTTTGACCTTCTTTTGAACTTCTAGAAGCACATCTGTGAGGTCAGGCAGAGATGCTGGACGAGGAGGCCTGGCTCACAGTCTCTTCTCTAATTCATCCCAAAGGAGTTCTGTCGGGTTGGGATCAGGACTCTGTGCAGGCCTGTCAAGTCCTCCACACCAACCTGGCTCATCCGTGTCTTTATGGACCTTGTCATGTTGGAACAGGACGGGATCATCCCCAAACTGTTTCCACGAAGAGCCTGAAACTGTGCAAAACATCTTGGTATGTTGAAGCATCCTTTCACTGGAACTAAGGGGCCAAGCCCAAAAAACCCCCCTACACCAAACTAGTAAGTACCGTTCTCTTGACAAACGCCAAACCCAGACTCGTCCATCAGATTGGCAGACAGAGAAACGTGATTGGTCACTCTAGAGAAGACGTCTCCTCTGCTCTAGTGTCCAGTGGCGGCGTGTTTTACAGCGCTGCATCTTACGCTTTGCGTTGCACTTGGTGATGTAAGGCTTGGATGCAGCTGGAAACCCGTTCCATGAAGCTCTCTACGCACTGTTCTGGAGCTAATCTGAAGGCCACGCAGCGTTTGGAGGTCTGTAGCTGTTGACTCTGCAGGAAGTTGGTGACTTCTGCGCACTGAGCGCCTCAGCATGAGCTGACCCCGCTCTGTGATTTTATGTGGCTGAGTTTCTGTTGTTCCCAATCACTTCCACTTTTATAATACCACTAACAGTTGACCGTGGAATATTTAGTAGTGAGGAAATTTCACAAATGGATTTATTGCACAGGTGGCAGCCTATCATGGTACCACGCTTGAGTTCACTGATCTCCTGAGAGCGACCTGTTCTTTCACAAGTGTATGAAACAGCAGCCAGTAGCTGCTTAGCTTAGCTTAGCATAGCTTAGCTTAGCATAAAGACTGGTAACAAAGTCCACCTGCCAGATCTGAAGCTCTCTGATCATCAACGTCTTACATCTGGTTTAATCTCTACAGAGACCGACGTGTGAAAATGACAGTTTGTGTTACAGGAAGTTACTTTATTGCTAAAATCGAGGAATCAGTTCAAGTAAAGAGGAGCAGATACGAGATTTAAGATTCAAAATGAGGAATAAATCGATGATAATAATAATAATCCTCCAGATTAGCAGTGTGAGATACATAATGTTTAATTTCCTTCAAATGTAGAGCAGGAACAGTCTTCATCAGGTAGGTAGAGACTGTTTCACCAGTTGAAGTTGTGATGAATCCTTTTCTAACACATTCTCACTCCCAAATTCTTACATTATGTTTCTCAGCAAACTGACCTGAGTACAGTGACTGTGTCCACATCACTAACTCCTCTATCCATGTCCTGTGTGTGTCTGTATGGAAGATATCTGTTTTCTATTAATGAAGTGACTTTGTATTTCTTGTGCTCCTTGCAGCCTGGTAACTCCTCCTCACTGTTTCCTGATTCCAGTAGTGTTTCAGTCTGATCTTACTGCTCACTCTGCTGATGAAGTATTTCAGCTTCTGAATGTCTGAAGGTTTATTGTCCCTTCTTTCTGCTTCTGGAGACGGAGAGTAGATAGAATTAGTTCATCTGTGAGTCCTGTGATTTACAGCAGGGAGTCATTAAGAGAAAAGATCCTGCACGTTTTCCTCTGCTGCCAGTGTTGTGTCAATAAAATGATCATGTTTCAAATAGTGTCGTCCTGTTTACTGCCAGAAGTCATCCATCATTTAAAGACCGAGCACGGCAACAAGACACAAGGCGGTTATACTGCATCAGCAAGGTCTCTCCAGGCAGACATTTCAAGGCAGACAGGGGTTTCCAGATGTGCTGCCAAGCTCTACTGAAGAAGCCAAAGAATCGAGCGACAGAGAGAGAATCCACAGAAGAACTGTGGGGAGTTCTCCGAGATGTTTGCGCCGACCCGCCTGCTGAGTTCCTTCAACAACTTTGTGAAACGTTCACAAACATCACAGCGCTGAGACTGCGCTGATAGAGGTGCTCAGTGATATTCAGGTTAAATTCAATTCAATTTTATTTATATAGCGCCAAATCACAACAACAGTTGTCTCACAGCGCTTTTCATAAAGAGCAGGTCTAGACCGTACTCTGTGATGTTATTTACAGAAGCCCAACAGTTCCCACCAAGAGCAGCACTAGCAGACAGAGGCAAGGAAAAACTTCCTTTAAGAGGCAGAAACCAGAACCATGGCTCAGTGTGGGCGGCCATCTGCCTCGACCAGTTGGGGGGGGAGAGGGAGAGAGAGAGAGAGAGAGATGTAAGGAGAGAGGAACAGAGAGAAAAAGAGAGGGATGTAAGGAGAGAGAGGGGAGGGAGGAGAAAGCACAAGACTACCAGAAAGGGGAGAAGTTGTGTTAGTAACATGCAATAATGGGATGAGGTTGCATACAGAGGGAGAGAAAGTAGAGGAGAGAGGAGCTCAGTGCATCATGGGAAATCCCCCGGCAGTCTAGGCCTATAGCAGCATAACTAAGGGATGGTTCAGGACTCACCTGAGCCAGCCCTAACTATAAGCTTTATCAAAGAGGAAAGTCTTAAGCCTACTCTTAAATGTGGAGATGGTGTCTGCCTCCTGAACCCAAACTGGAACCTGGTTCCACAGGAGAGGAGCTTGATAGCTGAACGCTCTGGCTCCTAGTCTACTTTTGGAGACTCTAGGAACCACAAGTAACCCTGCATTCTGGGAGCGCAGTGCTCTGGTGGGGTAGTAAGGTACTATGAGCTCTTTAAGATAAGATGGTGCCTGACCATTAAGAGCTTTGGAGGTAAGAAGAATGATTTTAAATTCTATTCTGGATTTTACTGGAAGCCAATGCAAAGAAGCTAAAACAGGAGAAATGTGATCTCTTTTCCTGGTTCCTGTCAGAACACGTGCTGCAGCATTCTGGATCAGCTGAAGAGTCTTAATGGACTTTTTCGAGCAGCCTGATAATAAGGAATTGCAGTAATCCAGCCTAGAAGTAACAAATGCATGGACTAGTTTTTCTGCATCATTTTTAGACAGGATGTTCCTGATTTTCGCAATATTACGTAGGTGAAAAAAGGCGATCCTTGAAATTTGCTTAATGTGAGACTCAAACGACATGTCCTGATCAAAGATAACTCCAAGATTCCTCACAGTGGTGCTGGAGGCCAAGGCGATGCCATCCAGGGAAACTATATCTTTAGATAATGCGTCACGGAGGTGCTTAGGCCCCAGAGCAATAACTTCAGTTTTATCTGAGTTTAACATGAGAAAATTACAGGTCATCCAGGTTTTAACATCCTGAAGGCACATTTGAAGTTTAGCTAACTGAGTTTCATCTGGCTTGATCGATAGATATAACTGAGTATCATCTGCATAACAATGAAAGCTTATGGAATGTTTCCTGATAATATTGCCTAAAGGAAGCATATATAAAGTGAAGAGGATTGGTCCGAGGACAGATCCTTGAGGAACTCCATGACTAACTTTGGCGTGCATGGAGGACTCATCGTTAACATGTACAAACTGAAATCGATCTGATAAATAGGACTTAAACCAGCTTAGAGCGGTTCCTTTAATGCCAATGAAATGTTCCAGTCTCTGCAATAGGATCTGATGGTCAATGGTATCAAATGCAGCACTAAGATCTAATAAAACCAGTACAGAGACAAGTCCTTTGTCTGATGCAATAAGGAGGTCGTTAGTAATTTTCACCAGTGCTGTCTCTGTGCTATGATGAGCTCTAAATCCTGACTGAAAATCCTCAAATAAACTATTGCTCTGTAGAAAGTCACACAGCTGTTTAGCAACTGCTTTCTCCAGAACCTTAGAGAGAAATGGAAGGTTAGATATAGGTCTATAGTTGGCTAAAACATCCGGATCAAGTTTGGTCTTTTTCAGAAGAGGTTTAATTACAGCTTCTTTAAAGTACTGTGGTACATAGCCTGTTGATAGAGATAGATTGATCATATCTAGTATAGAGGTGCTGACTAAGGGTAAAACATCTTTAAGCAGCCTAGTCGGGATGGGGTCTAAGAGGCAGGTTGATGGTTTAGATGAAGAAATTATTGAAGTTAGTTGGTAAAGATTGAGGGAAGCTAAACAGTCTAAACATGTATCTGGTTCTACAGCTGTTTCTAAGGTTCCTGAGTTTAGAGATAAGTCGGTGCCAGTTGAGGGCAGGTCTTCCTCTCAAGTTTCCGCGATATTTGCTTTAATTTGCGAGTTTCAGTATTATACCATGGAGCTAACTTTGTTTTAGTATTTTCTTTTTTAGAGGGGCTACAGAGTCGAGTGTCATTTGCAGCGAGCCTGCAGCACTATCAACAAGATGATCGATTTGGGAGGGACTGAAATTAGCATAGGAGTCCTCCGTTACTTTGTGACTTGATAATGAATTTAGAGCTGATGGAATCACATCCTTAAATTTAGCTACAGCACTATCAGACAGACATCTTGTATAGAAATTTTTGCCCAATGGCGAGTAGTTCAGAAATACAAACTCAAAAGTTATCAAACAGTGGTCGGACAAAGAGGGATTCTGTGGGAACACCACTACAATAACCACCACAATAATAACTTTGTCCGTTTTAAGGACTAAAGTTGACAAAAACTCTACAAATTCAGATAAGAATTCAGAGTACGGACCAGGTGCTCGGTACACTATAACAAAAAGAATTGGTTGCAGTGATTTCCAACTTGGGTGTGAAAGACCAAGAACAAGGCTTTCAAATGAGTTATAGTTTAGTTTAGGTTTAGAGCTGATTAGTAGGCTAGAGTCGAAGATAGCTGCAGTAGCTGTAAAAACACTTGCTGACAGACTGGAACAGTGGTGAGATTTTCTGAGTCTGAGTGGATCACCATGACGTGGAGTCCCCATTTATATATATTCAGGGTTCATCTTGTTCTGGCAGAATGTCCTTTTAGAGGTTTTCAGTAAAAGCAACACTGCGATCATTTTATTCTCCAACAAAAAGTCTCTGAAGATGTTTATTGTCTGTGCTGGCTTGAAGGTCTTTCTGTGAGATCTTTATTTTATTGTTCTGTTATTGTGCCCTCTCGCTAAATGTACCTCTGTATCTCTTATGTGTTGTATGCAGTGTTGTGATTTATGAATTATGTTGCTTTGACATTACTTTTCTATTAATAAAGAAATAAAGTCCAATGCAGTCAGACTTCTCTGTGCAGCCAGTGGAGTCGCTCCCTGCTGGCTGTTAGAAAGAATGCAGGTTTAAGGCTCTTCCTCAGTTACTTCTCTCTTCAGACCCAAAGGTTCCTGCGTGATATGAACTGTCAACTTGAAATCATTACATGGTGCTCGTGTGTGTCTGAATTTTGTGGGGAACTCTGGACATTTAATCTGTGTGGTTTTGTTTTTGGATTTACTTTGCTCTGTGGAATTTCTTGGACTACTTCACTTTGAGATTTGGACCCGTAAGTTATCGACTTGGTTTTGCTGAATACCCTCCCCGCCTTTTGTTTCTGCTTCTGGATCCTGAACCCTGTTTTTACCTGAGCACACGGTCTGAAAGCTTTTTACATAATGTTCTCACTAACAATCAGACCCGAGCAGCAGCCCTCATTCTTACTGTTAGTTTGCTCTTTCAGCTGCGTGTTATGTTCTTACTTGTTCCTGTTTTGTCACTTTGTTTCAGTTACAACATTAACCACCATCGTTCTGCTACAGCACCATTAAACAGCAGGTTGTCAACTCGTCCACCATTTTGGGTTTGTTGTAGCTCACAAGATGCAAAGTTGGCTCTTTGTTACTGAAAACCAAGTAACTAACTTAGGATACATTTAGGAATCATTGCAAACTAAGTTTTAAACAGCTGGTTACTTTAAAACTAACCTTCGTCTGGGAGATCACAGGGAGATGTGAGTATCTGACTGACACACAGACAGAAACACTGGGAACTAAAAAGCGCAGCATCAAAATAAAAGTGTTCAATTATTGGCATTTATAGGTGGTTATTCCAGGTGTCAATCCAATGAATATTAATTATTATTAATATGTTTAGTATTATTTCTCAAACATCTCTGACATTTAGCTAAAACCTTTCTCTACCTGAATCCCAACAGAAGACACGCTGCAGCATTAATGCTGACATTTTTACTGTGATGGAAATATGTTTATTTCAGTCCTCATCACTTTAGTGAAGAATACAAAAAGTAACATTCAGTTATTCACAATCCAGCAGAGGAACAGTCTGGAGAGTCACTACAGTCTCTGCTACCTGTCTCTGAGACTGTTTCTGTGAAATCATGTGACCACAGGGCGTCCTCCCTCTCTGCTGATACAAACTGATCTCTGCTCTGTCTCCTCAGCATCAGAGATCTCTGTGCAGCCAACAGGTGAACAGCAGGTGAGAGCACTTAAATACTTTAAGACGTCCAGATCAGGAGTTAACAGCAGATAGTAAGTGCAGGAAACTTGTACTTAATGTATGAAGTATTCCTCCAGACAGACAGGTGATATTTCCTCAGTAAGTGCAGCAGATGAAGTTTCACTCTGAAACATGTTGTTGATCTGTGAACTGTGAAGCTGTTTCTGTTTAAAACTCTAAACTGTCACTTCATGTCATCAGTGAGAGAGTAAACAGCTATGACCATACTGAAGGTGTGATTAATCTATAAAGTCTGTCTAAATTAAATTGATGTCATGATGTCATAATGCTACTAAGCTAGAAACTATTAAAGGTACAGTGTGTAATATTTCTGAGGATCTATTGACAGAAACGAAATATACAGTAATATCCACAACTGTGGTGTCAGTGGTGTATAAAGACCTTCCATAATGAACCGTTATATTTTTATTACCTTAGAATGAGACATTTATGTCTACAGACACCGCGGGTCCTCTTACATGGATGTCATAATGTTGAACTGACGTGTTTCTTTTGTGGCAGAAAATTGTGTCCTCTTACATTTAATCTTTTATGTATATTCTATTATTCTTACTATTATTGTTATATATATTATTGTTATATTGTTGTCTTATAGATCGATATTGTGTTTTGATCCGTATCCTTTCCTCTCCTACACTTCTTATGTTAGTCTGTCCACATTTACTAGGGTTTAGGTCAGAGCTGTGAGATTGTTTTTGGTACTTTACCTCTCATGTTGTTCCTCTCCTCTCCTGGAATGTTCATTCAAGGCCGAGAGAGGATCTCTGTTGCCCAAAACATAGAAACCTAGACTGTGTAAATGATTATTCATCCCTTTGCTCGTGGCCAGATGTTAGTGATTGTCTTAGGAGACAGAACCTCTGGTCCAGCTGATTGTAGTACTTCTGTTGTAGTAATTCTTCAAAGACACCGTTTTGTTGTAACTCAATTATTTGCTCAACCCTTCACTAGGAATATAATTTCCATGACAGTTTCTACAGCAGCCCAAAGAGACAAACTGCTGTACAGAGCGCGTTTCATCACTACGACGAACGCGTGCAAAGACAAAGAAAAAGAAGAAGTAGCCTAGTAGAAGTCGTCTGGTTTGTTAGAAGTAAAAAAAGAAGTGACATTTGGACAAATAGAAGACCGCAGGTATTATTTAACACAAGAGCCCGCAAAGGGAGGGCTGAGCGGTGACTGATGGTGCATTCATGTGGTGTCAGAATAATCAGAATTTTTTTTTCCTTATTGCAAAAGAGAAATAATATGTACAGAGGACACAAAGAAGTTTACAGATCTTTGATTTGTGCAAAATTACATATTGCATTTAGATATTGTGCAAACGTGTAATCTATAATCTGGTTAGAAAGGTTAGTTTGCTGTCCATGTAGAGTGATCTAGATGTCTGTGTGTTGTTTATACACTCTGATAAAGTTAATCCAACACATCTTTAGTGTCCATGTTGATTCGACATTCCCCCCCTTACTTTTTTCCCTAGGTATTTACCCCATTAATGTGATACGTGCTATGAGCTCTTACTAGTATGTATTGTCAGTTGTAGATCTCGTGCTGTATTGATGCTCTGTTGATCCTTGTATGTTGTTCCTAAACTGTAAGTCACTTTGGATAAAAGTTTCTGCCAAATGAGTAAATGTAAATGTGCTGACAGCTGCTGATAACAGCAGCACAGCTGACAGGAGGTCACTGACTTGTTTTTCTTTCATCCAGAGAACCAATAAGCTGCTGCATCCTCAAGCTCCTGTCAAGCAGTTACCATGGCAACGTGAGTAAAACTAGTTTCTACAACAACACAGAGTTTCAGAGTTTATTTTCTTGTTGAAATGCATCACACTGCTGAATCCCATTTTACTATATGATGTGAACATTTCCAACGTGAGCAGAGTTAAGAGTGAAAACTGGAAAAGTGTCAGATTGATGTGATTGTAGTAACAATTAAAATACTAGAACTGCAAGCAGTTATAAACGGGGTCCAAGCCTCCCGGCGCCAGGCGCCCCACCTTGCCCCGTGGAGTACAGGCGAGTCGGCCCAGGCCCGCCATGATTAATTGTGCCATGGAGATTAAATGAGCTAGCTATGAGTTATAAATGAAAGGGGCTTGTGGTTATGGAGATCTGAAATGAATGTATGTCTATGGGACTGTTTTTTGATTTCCAATTAATTGCACTACCTAGACGCCGACTGAGGGCAAATTTCACACAGGCCCTCAAGAGGCCGTGCCAGGTAAGGTCCATGAGTTTGGTGTAGATCGGACATTGCAAACGTAAGATCTGACATGACATCCTGTTTTTAGCGTTTGCATAAACATTCGTCAGCTTGTAATTGGGACATTTTTTGGTGCATCAAGATTCCCTCTACAAACTTCCTTCGGCTCGGTCCAGAGATCATTCGTGCCAAGTTTTGTGTCGATTCGGACATGTGGCTTCGGAGGAGTTAATTAAAAGAGGTTTTTGTGATTTCGCGAAATGAAAACGTCATCGCACAGAGGCGTGTCCTATACGAATCGGCAGCGTCCCTCAAACACTGAGACATAAGGTTTATTAATGTGCGATGTAGTGGGCCTTAGTTATGAGGCAAAATGTCCTTTGGTTGAAAATCCCACAGAAACGAATGGGATTGTCTGACGGTGTTTTAGCTTCCATTATAGCGCCACCTTTTGGCCGAATTGCACCACAATTTTCAGGTGTGATCAGGGCCCCATAGGAACAATTGCCCCAAATTTGGTATCAATCGGAGTTGTGGTTGTGGAGATGTAAAATGCATGTAAGTCAATTGGATTTTTTTGAATAGCGCCAACTAGGGGCTAACTGTATGAAATTTGAAATGAAATGAAATTTTGCACAGCCCCTCAGGGGGGCATGTCACATAAGGTCCTCAATTTTTTTAGTTGATCGGCCTTTCCAAGCCTGAGATATATTATACTTCCTGTTTTTAGCGTTTTCGCAAATATTTGGTATCTTGTAATTGGGACATTTTTTGTCGGATCAAAATTCCCTCTACAAACATTTATCGGCTCAGTCCAGAGATAATGCGAAATGAAAACGTCATCGCACAGTCCTATACCATCAGAATCGGCAGCATCCCCCAAATACGTAGACGTAAGATTTATGAATATGCGATGTAGTGAGCCTTAGTTATCCTGCAAAATGTCATTTGATTGAAAATCCCATTGAAATGAATGGGGTGTTTGAGCTTTGATTATAGCGCCACCTTTTGGCCGAAGTGCACCAAATTTTTTTTAGTTCCATGGGGAAGAATTGACCCAAATTTGGTGTTAATGGTAAGGTGCCTCCCAGGGCTCAGTGAGGAATATTATTTTTTGGGGACTATGAATTTTTTTTGAGGACTACTTTGCGTTCCCTCGCAGTATGTTTTGTGTTACCTCGCATTACTTTTGCGTTACCTTGCAATATGTTTTGAGTTCCCTCACAATACTGTCTTCTTCCGTTAGCCTAGGCTACTTCCGAGCCATATGCTCAGCTGCTCTCAGCGCAACACTCCAGCTTATTCAATTTTACTTTGAACGGAGAATTTCCTATGTTGATATAGTAGACTACTACTGCTCAATAGGCATATTTATGTAGACTTTAATCAAAAAGGACCAGGCACCACGGCTGGGATCGCTTGGACGTATGGCTGCTCCCAGAGATTATCCGTGCCAAGTTTGGTATCGGTCGGACTTGCGGCTGTGGAGGAGTTAATTAAAATAGGTTTTTCAGTTTTTGCGATGTAGTGAAAAAAAGTCTAGGCGGAAATGGCGGGAGTAGGCGGGAGTTCCAAGCCCAAACGTGTTGACCTTGCTTATAGCGCCCCCTAGAGGTAGACGTGTGTGGATTTTTGCGCCTGAGTTATGTGCAGTGAACTGGACCTACCCTAGGAGTTTTGCGTCCCCCCATCACAGGTATCTGGTTATACTCTTAGCAGAAATGAATCCACTTTCATAAATATAACAAAGGAGAGTTCTTGGTGGTATAAAAAAACTAAAGTACTTAAATGTGTGGTGGGGGCAGCAAGTAGAGTGATTTTATTTATTTCATTCTATATTCAGTAGTTTTTGATCTCATGTCTTTACTTTTCTTCAGGAACACCTCATCCAAATATGAAGAAATCATTTCTAAAAGTGATCTGATCCCATCAGGATCTCCTGAGGTCTACCAGCTGAGACCAAAGGAAGAGAACATTGGATCTCTAAGAAGAATGACTCTCGGTGAAAGAAATGTGAACAAGATAAACAAAACCATCTTGCTTGTGGGTGAAACAGGAACAGGAAAATCTACTCTGGTCAACGCTCTGGTCAACTACGCCATGGGAGTGAAGTGGGAGGACGATGTCTGGTTTAAGATCATAGAGGACAAGAAGGACGAGGCGGACGATGTGTGCTTTAAGATCGTAGAGGATGAGAAGTTCGAGAAGAGAAGCCAAACAGAAAGTCAGACATCAGATGTGATCGTGTACCAGATCTTTGGTTTTGAAGGTGAAACTCTGCCCTACTCTCTGACCATCATCGATACTCCTGGATACGGAAGCACCAAAGAAACTGAACATGATGACATCATCAGTCAAAGATTATTCGACTGGTTCCGCTCAGGAGAAGTTCATGAGATGAATGCAGTGGGTCTGGTGGTGAAAGCGAGTGTGAATCGACTGGATGAGCGACTGAGGTACATCTTTGATTCAGTGGTGTCTCTGTTTGGAAAAGACATGGAGAAGAACATTGTTGCTCTCATCACATTCTCAGATGGTCTGACACCTGAAAATGTTCTGAAAGCTCTTGATGCTGCAAACATTAAGATAGCCAAAGATGAGGAGAATGAGCCTGTTCATTTTATGTTTAATAACCGCCAGGACACAGGGAGAACAAAGAAGAATAAGGCTGCTTTGAAAGGTGCATGGGACTTAACAATGGAAGGAATCTTTCAGTTTAAAGAGTTTCTGGAAAAACTGCACCTCAGAATCTGATGGCAACTATTGAAGTGTTGAAGGCTCGAATCAGACTGACAGCCTGCATCCAAAACCTGCAAGAGAGAGTTGAGTTCACTGAACTAAAACAGAGAGAAATCCAACAGACTCAGGAAGCTCTGAAGAAACATGAAGAAGAGATGAAGAGAAACGAAGAGTTCATTGTAGAATTTGATGAAGTCTACAAAGTGAAACAAAAAATTTATGAGAGGAGGTGGTGGTGGTTGTGGTTAAATTATGGAGGAGCTGTCTGCTGTACAGTCTGTGAGGAGAACTGTCACTATCCTGGATGCACACTGGCCTGGTATCCTGAACACTGTGAGGTCATGAAAGATGGCCGCTGCACTTCATGTACCAGGAAGTGTCCTGTATCAGATCATGTGAAAGAAAAGTGGATCTATGTGACCAAGACAAGGAAAGTTCAGAAGACCCTGAAAGACGTGAAGGAGAAGTATGAAAGAGGTAAAACTGGCTGTGAGGAGAACTGTCACTATCCTGGATGCACACTGGCCCAGAATCCAGAAAGCTCTGATGTCATGAAAGATGGCCGCTGCACTTCATGTATCAGGAAGTGTCCTGTATCAGATCATGTGAAAGAAAAGATCTATGTGAATGAGACAAGCAAAGTTCAGAAGACCCTGCAAGATGTGAAAGAGAAGTATGAAAGAGGTAAAGCAGGATGTGAGGAGAAAACAAGCCTTTTGAAAACTTTAGAAAAGCAAATGGAAAAACTTCAGAAAGAAAAAGATCAGATGTTGGAAGAATCTTTCGAGCTTGTTGTCAGACTGGATCAGATCGCCCTGAATGTTGATTCACTGTCCACTCATGTCCACTTGGACTTCCTGATTGAGAAGATGAAGGAGAAAGGAGACGCAGAGAAGATCCAGAAACTGGAAGAGATGAAGAGTCGAGTGAATAAAGATAAAGGAACCAGAGCAGCTCTGTGGTACATGTCTGGTAAACTAACAGCAGCTGGTAAAGCTGTTAAAGCAGCAGTGAAGTAGCAGGTGAACACCATCAGTGTGAGCAGCAGCTGTGTAGAAAACAAGCTCTACACTGTTGATCCAGATGTTTAAACATCACAAAAGCTTTTTCATTCTAGTTCTATGAAGTGTGATGATGATGTCATAAGTTCATGAGGAAATTCAAATGTAATCACCTTTTAAATGTCAGATGTGTACTTCCTGGAAACAGCGCCCTCTGTGGTGTGGAATGACTGCTGCTCTTCTTGTACTTCCATGTTTGCTCACCAATAGTGAGTTCAGTGTGCAGATTATCATCAGTGCTGAATCATGGCAGCAGATTTATTTGGTGTTGAACAGCTGTTAGTTTTCTCTTCTAATCATGTTTTCTCCACTATGATTGTGTTTGTGCTTGTATGAATAGACGTGTCTTATATATCCACCATGATGTCACAATGTTGAAGCTGTTGGGAAACTAAAGTGAACTCATTATAAAGGAGTTCAGCCTGGAGGGGGGTTGAAACCTCTTCCTGTGTTCTGAGAGTGTTAATAATATATCTTAATATCTTTCTCAATAATAAAGAAGATTCCAGTTAATGTGTGTTGTATCAAAGTCCTATAAGAGCTGAGGACAGACTGCCTCTCCTCAGTCACACCTGTGTAATGCTGATGATGCTCTGACCTGCAAACAATAAAGATCTGCTGACATTATGAATATTGTGTCATCTGGGATTTGAGTTCCAGCTCTCATCTGCACTAGACAGCAGTTTAATAATGGCAATAAACAAAATCCAAAAGGCAGGAAATCCAAGACACAGGTAAACACAGAGAAAGGGCCGCTACGCTCGAGCAGAAGACAAAGACAAACTGGCTGAAGACAAAGGAAGCAGGCAGATTTTGAGTTCCTGTTTTATTGTGAAAGGGTTTGTCTTGTACGACTGAAAGGGCAGAAAGAGACAAAGATTCCTCTGAGCAACAGTTAAATAAGAATATAAGAAGTTTAAATATGAACAGCTTCCTGTTTCAGGGTCAAGTTCACAGTAACGTCTATAAGAAGCTGGAATTAACAGACGTCTCTTCTGTCAGGCAGCACTGTGGGGACATCAACTAAATGGACGTTTTAATCATTTAATTCTTCTTTTGGGGCCAAAACTATTTCAAAATAAGCATTTCCTGAAAACATCACTATAGCAGGTGATTCCAGCCTTGAACTGTAGCGAACATATAAAAGTGTTTTCTAAATCAGTGTGCACAGAGGACGTTCCAGAAGAGAAGTCAGACAGAAAGCTGCTGCTGTGTTTGTGAAGAGTCCTGAAAGCTGATGTCCTCTGATGGATTTCTACGCTGCTTTCTTCCTGTGTCTTCTTTCGTCTCTTTCTTCTGTTTCTCTTTGGGAGTTTGTGAGGAGCAGCAGGTCTGACAGAGATTGGTTCCAGCTGATGTTTCATCACGTGATCAGCTCTGTTGGTGATGCTTCCTGTAGTGACCACTAGAAGTCTGAAGTCAAAGCTTCTGTATTATAAAAGTGTAATATATTTTGAGATCCTGGATTTTTGAGCTGTAATCATCAATATTAAAACAAAAAAGGGGCCTGAAATATTTCACTTTATGTGTAATGAATCTAAATGGGGTTAAACCTTTTGACTTAAATAATGGGAAACTTTTCCACAACATTCCAGTTTTTTTAGATGCACCTGTACATTATTCTTACGCAGCTGTCTGAACAACTGAACCGGGTTATGAGTGGCAGCTCCAACAGAGGGTCCCCTTATAGACTCCCCTCAGCATCAGGTGTTTAACAGGTAACAGGTTTTAAAGCAGAGCAGGCGTCTGAAATGAATCACAAAAAGAGACACACATTATGAACCACTTGACTAGAAATGAAGCTGCACGCCTGATTGTAAAACTGTAAATTTGCAGCTCTTGACCACGTGTCAGCTGGTTAACTGCCGCTGAGCGTTTAGAAAAAGGACACGGCGTCTCTCTGTGTGACAGCAGCTCGGTTTAATCCTCCCCGTGTGGTTCAGGTACGAGCTCCAGACCATCGGGATCACGGCGGCCAACACCTGGGGCCTGTTCCTGCTGGTGCTGCGTAACCTTTCTTTCTTGCTTTCTTCTTGCTTGCTTTCTTGCTTGCTTGCTTGCTTGCTTGCTTTCTTGCTTGCTTGCTTGCTTGCTTGCTTGCTTGCTTGCTTGCTTTCTTGCTTGCTTGCTTGCTTGCTTGCTTGCTTGCTTTCTTTCTTTCTTTCTTGCTTTCTTGCTTGCTTTCTTGCTTGCTTTCTTGCTTTCTTGCTTGCTTTCTTGCTTGCTTTCTTGCTTTCTTTCTTGCTTGCTTGCTTGCTTGCTTGCTTGCTTGCTTTCTTTCTTTCTTGCTTTCTTTCTTGCTTTCTTTCTTACTTTCGAGCTTGTTGTCAGACTGGATCAGATCGCCCTGAATGTTGATTCACTGTCCACTCATGTCCACTTGGACTTCCTGATTGAGAAGATGAAGGAGAAAGGAGACGCAGAGAAGATCCAGAAACTGGAAGAGATGAAGAGTCGAGTGAATAAAGATAAAGGAACCAGAGCAGCTCTGTGGTACATGTCTGGTAAACTAACAGCAGCTGGTAAAGCTGTTAAAGCAGCAGTGAAGTAGCAGGTGAACACCATCAGTGTGAGCAGCAGCTGTGTAGAAAACAAGCTCTACACTGTTGATCCAGATGTTTAAACATCACAAAAGCTTTTTCATTCTTGTTCTATGAAGTGTGATGATGATGTCATAAGTTCATGAGGAAATTCAAATGTAATCACCTTTTAAATGTCAGATGTGCACTTCCTGGAAACAGCGCCCTCTGTGGTGTGGAATGACTGCTGCTCTTCTTGTACTTCCATGTTTGCTCACCAATAGTGAGTTCAGTGTGCAGATTAACATCAGTGCTGAATCATGGCTTGCTTGCTTTCTTGCTTGCTTTCTTTCTTTCTTTCTTGCTTTCTTTCTTTTTTACTTGCTTGCTTGCTTGCTTTCTTGCTTGCTTTCTTTCTTTCTTGCTTGCTTGCTTTCTTTCTTTCTTTCTTTCTTTCTTGCTTCTTTCTTACTTGCTTGCTTGCTTGCTTGCTTGCTTTCTTGCTTTCTTACTTGCTTTCTTGCTTTCTTGCTTGCTTGCTTTTCTTCTTTCTTGCTTTCTTGCTTGCTTGCTTTCTTGCTTGCTTGCTTTCTTTCTTTCTTGCTTTCTTACTTGCTTTCTTGCTTTCTTGCTTGCTTGCTTTTTCTTTCTTTCTTGCTTTCTTGCTTGCTTGCTTTCTTGCTTTCTTGCTTGCTTGCTTTCTTGCTTTCTTCCTTCTTTCTTGCTTTCTTTCTTGCTTGCTTGCTTGCTTGCTTTCTTTCTTGCTTGCTTGCTTTCTTTCTTCCTTGCTTTCTTGCTTGCTTTCTTTCTTCCTTGCTTTCTTGCTTGCTTTCTTGCTTGCTTTCTTTCTGGCTTGCTTTCTGGCTTTCTTTCTTGCTTGCTTTCTTTCTTTCTTGCTTTCTTACTTGCTTTCTTGCTTGCTTGCTTTTTCTTTCTTTCTTTCTTTCTTGCTTGCTTGCTTGCTTGCTTGCTTGCTTGCTTGCTTGCTTGCTTGCTTGCTTGCTTTCTTTCTTTCTTGCTTTCTTACTTGCTTTCTTGCTTGCTTGCTTGCTTTCTTTCTTACTTGCTTTCTTGCTTTCTTGCTTGCTTTCTTTCTTTCTTTCTTGCTTTCTTCTTGCTTGCTTGCTTGCTTTCTTTCTTGCTTGCTTTCTTTCTTTCTTGCTTTCTTACTTGCTTTCTTGCTTTCTTTCTGCTTGCTTTTTCTTTCTTTCTTTCTTCTTGCTTGCTTGCTTGCTTTCTTGCTTGCTTGCTTTCTTGCTTCTTCCTTGCTTTCTTGCTTTCTTGCTTTCTTGCTTGCTTGCTTGCTTGCTTTCTTTCTTGCTTGCTTTCTTTCTTCCTTGTTCTTGCTTTCTTTCTTTCTTTCTTTCTTGCTTGCTTTCTTTCTGGCTTGCTTTCTGGCTTGCTTTCTTGCTTGCTTCTTTCTGGCTTGCTTCTGCTTGCTTTCTGGCTTTCTTTCTTGCTTGCTTTCTGGCTTTCTTTCTTGCTTGCTTTCTTGCTGCTTGCTTGCTTTCTTGCTTGCTTGCTTTCTTGCTTCTTCCTTGCTTTCTTGCTTTCTTGCTTTCTTGCTTTCTTGCTTGCTTGCTTGCTTGCTTTCTTTCTTGCTTGCTTTCTTTCTTCCTTGCTTTCTTGCTTGCTTTCTTGCTTTCTTCCTTGCTTTCTTGCTTTCTTGCTTTCTTTCTTGCTTGCTTGCTTGCTTTCTTTCTTGCTTTGCTTTCTTTCTTGCTTGCTTTCTTGCTTTCTTTCTTGCTTGCTTGCTTGCTTTCTTTCTTGCTTTTTCTTTCTTTCTTTCTTTCTTGCTTGCTTTCTTGCTTGCTTGCTTTCTTGCTTCTTCCTTGCTTTCTTGCTTTCTTGCTTTCTTTCTTGCTTGCTTGCTTGCTTTCTTTCTTTCTTGCTTGCTTCTTCCTTGCTTGCTTGCTTTCTTTCTTCTTTCTTTCTTGCTTGCTTCTTTCTGGCTTGCTTTCTGGCTTGCTTTCTTGCTTTCTTTCTGGCTTGCTTTCTGGCTTTCTTTCTGCTTGCTTTCTTGCTTGCTTGCTTGCTTTTCTTGCTTTCTTGCTTTCTTGCTTGCTTTCTTTCTTTCTTGCTTTCTTACTTGCTTTCTTGCTTTCTTGCTTGCTTGCTTTTTCTTTCTTTCTTGCTTTCTTGCTTTCTTACTTGCTTCTTGCTTTCTTGCTTGCTTGCTTGCTTTCTTGCTGCTTGCTTCTTGCTTTCTTCCTTGCTTTCTTGCTTTCTTGCATTCTTGCTTTCTTGCTTGCTTGCTTGCTTTCTTTGTTGCTTTCTTTCTTTCTTTCTTTCTTGCTTGCTTTCTTTCTGGCTTGCTTTCTGGCTTGCTTTCTTGCTTGCTTTCTTTCTGGCTTGCTTTCTGGCTTTCTTTGCTTGCTTGCTTTCTTGCTTTCTTGCTTTCTTGCTTTCTTGCTTGCTTTCTTGCTTGCTTGCTTTCTTCCTTGCTTTCTTGCTTTCTTTCTTGCTTGCTTGCTTTTGCTTTCTTTCTTTCTTGCTTTCTTGCTTTCTTTCTTTCTTCTTGCTTTTTCTTTCTTTCTTTCTTGCTTTTTCTTTCTTCTTTCTTTCTTGCTTGCTTGCTTTCTTGCTTGCTTGCTTTCTTGCTTTCTTGCTTGCTTTCTTGCTTTCTTGCTTGCTTGCTTGCTTGCTTGCTTGCTTTCTTTCTTGCTTGCTTTCTTTCTTCCTTCTTTCTTGCTTTCTTTCTTTCTTTCTTCTTGCTTGCTTTCTTTCTGGTTTGCTTTCTGGCTTGCTTTCTTTCTGGCTTGCTTTCTGGCTTTCTTTCTTGCTTTCTTTCTTGCTTGCTTGCTTGCTTTCTTGCTTTCTTGCTTTCTTGCTTGCTTTCTTGCTTGCTTTCTTGCTTGCTTTCTTGCTTTCTTTCTTGCTTGCTTGCTTTCTCCGTCTCTTGTCCCCACAACAACACTCCACAACTCTATAAAAATTGAACTAGAATGGTAAATTAAAAAAAGAATATTATGAGAAATAATGTCGTTAGTCTCTCAGCACAAGTTTGAATTCAGCAGCTGTTCCTCCAGACAAACAAACGTCTTGATGAAAGGTGGAGGACAGGTGGGGGACAGGTGGGGGACAGGTGGAGGACAGGTGGGGGACAGGTGGATGACAGGTGGGGGAAAGGTGGAGGACAGGTGGAGGACAGGTGGGGGACAGGTGGGGGACAGGTGGGGACAGGTGGAGGACAGGTGGGGGACAGATGGGGGACAGGTGGAGGACAGGTGGGGACAGGTGGAGGACAGGTGGGAGACAGGTGGGGGACTGGTGGGGGGACTGGTGGGGGACAGGTGGGGGACAGGTGGAGGACAGGTGGGGGACAGGTGGGGGACAGGTGGGGGACAGGTGGAGGACAGGTGGATGACAGGTGGGGGACAGGTGGAGGACAGGTGGCGGACTGGTGGCGGACTGGTGGGGGATAGGTGGGGGACAGATGGGGGACAGGTGGGCTGCAACGGCTGCTGTGTCCGAGCTACAAGTCTAATGAGGTGTGATGATATTTTATTGGTCTGTAAATGTTGAAAAGAGACGAGCCGGAGAAGCAAAACACCCGAAACGCTCGACTTACGGCGAGTAGCCTCTACTCGACCAATCAGAAACGTGCCCCCCCCCCCCGAGCAGGGACCGGAACTTAATTTAGACCCCGGTCCCCGCAGTGGAAACGGCGAGTTCCTCCACAGGGTCCTAGTTCCGTGGTAAAGTGTGACGGGGCTGTGAACGCTGCCGTCCACCTGCTGGTAGAAAGAGTGTGTTTGTGTTGCAGGAGTGGAAGGAGCGCTACGGAAACCAGAGGACGACTACACCGCGAGGAACAGGAGCAGCCACGAAATGAAGGAGACCAGTTACTCGGACGCCGTGGCCCCCAGCAACAACAGACCCCCGGCGGCTGAACCTGTGTGACCCTCTGCTGTTAGTAACCAGCTGTTTGTTGAACAGAGGCCAAGTATTCCCGCTCTGGGAGTCGGCCGGAGAGGGACTGCGTCGAGCTGCTGCAGGACGCCGAGCCTTTAGACTTCAACGCCGACACTCTGACGGACGACCTGGACGCGGAGTCCTAAATGTAAATGCTCTGTATTTGTATAGCGCCTTTCTAGTCTTTTTGACCACTCAAAGCACTTTTACACTACATCTGCATTCACCAGTCACACACATTCATACACTGAGCCTAAGTGCTCAAACGGAAACTAACATTCACACTCATTCATACACTGGCGGAACAGCCTCCAGGGCAATTCGGGGTTCAGTATCTTGCCCAAGGACACTTCGACACGCAACCAGGGGGAGCCAGGGATTGAACCGCCGACCTTCCGATTAACGGCCAACCCGCTCTACCTCCTGAGCCACAGCCGTCCTCCAGGTAAACTTCCTGTTTCCATGGTAATTAAAGGTAGGCGAGACTGCGGTCCGCCTGGGGGGGTCAGACACGCCTGGACCTCATGCAGGAGCCTCCTTCAGCACATGTGTGATTTGTTTTCTGCTGCTGTCATTCAAAATGTTCTGCTGAGCTTGGGCTTTGACCCGCCAACCACCCCGTCCTGCCGCCGTACGGACTTTACCGCTCTTCATAATACGTCTCCTGACTCGTGGAAATGGTAAATGTCCCGGTGCAGAAATGAACAAGTTAATCGATTAATAGATTGTGTTGTTTAATTCCCAATTTTTGCAAAATCAATTTCACTGTTTTATCCACAAACTCTTTCCCATTATCTGATGATATTCGATCTGGAAGTCCCCACCTGCTTATGACCTCTCTACACAAAAACTTGGCAACCGACTGAGCGTCTTTCCACTTGGTTGGACAGGCCTCCGGCCATCGTGAAAATCTATCCACAACACTAGCATGTATCTTTTCCCTTCAACTGGTTTTATCATATCGACAAAGTCAACAACTAACTCACGCATAGGACCCCTTGGGTGGGAATGTAACCAGGAGGAACAGTCACACCCTGCAGACATTATTTTTCAGATTGTACACCTGCCTACGACATAATCAATCTGTTCAAGCAAATATGGTGCCCAAAAACCATACTCCTTTGTGATTTTCTCCTAACCTCCCCCTGGCAACATGAGCTAACCCATGTGCTTCCTGAATCATCAAACCTAACAGGTCCAGAGGTGCTACTATCAGTCCCTCGTGATTTCTCCAAAGACCCGTAGAATCCTTAACAGCACTCGGTCCAGCCACAACTGTTTATCAATCATAGAAGCAGCTTCCTGCATCAAATCACTTCCTTAAGCGTAATTCTGTCTTCCAAGTCCACCCCATGAGTGACCAGAAAAACCTTGCCCAATTGACAGCTTTTGCAGCTTCATCAGCAGCTTTGTTCCCTTGTGTCACTCTTGACGCATCTGTTTTATGAGCTGCACACTTAGCTATCGCTATCTCTTTAGGCCTCATCATAGCATGCAACAGTTTTATTATTTGTGCGTGATGTTGTATTGGAGAACCATCCGTTCTCTTAAACCCCCGACCTTTCCACACTGCTCCAAACAAAATGACATACATTATGTGCATATGCCGAATCAGTATATATTGTCACTCGCTGTCCGTCTGCTAACAACACTCTTCTGTTAGCTCCACAAGTTCTGCAAGCTGTGCAGACGCAGGCTGTGGTATTACTTCAGCTTTTCAACAACAAGTCCAGTTCCTTGAGCTTTTACTACTGCATAGCCAGCACACAATTTATCTCCCACACGATAACAAGACCCATCAGTCCAATACTCCAGGTCTGCCTCACGTAGTGGAAGGGCTTGCAAGTCTGATCTAAGCCTTGTGTAGCCTTGCCCCTACCTGTGCCTGCCACTTCCTGTCACCTTTGCCCTCTATATATACAACCATGTGCATCTAATCACTGCCACCCAGTGTCCAAAATACCATATAAATATATCTAAACAAAAATAAATATCATACATAAATGGCTCCTACACAGCCAACGGCCCCTAATTGTCTTATATAACAATTACCAAAAAATAATTAAAAGGAGCTAAATACACTACACCTTTTTTTCCTTGTTGGCAATTAATCTTCTTTAGTGATTCCTCTGTCTTCTTTTTTTCAAAATAGTCATTTTAGGGCCAGGGGTTCCAGAACATGGCACCTGTTGGGATCTGGTCTTTACCACCAGTCCTTGCTGTATCTAAATCTCAGTCTCTTTAATCAGACATATCTATCATTAAGATTCAAAACGTGGAGGAATGAATCGATGAACATAAAAAGAAAAGATGTGATTAATATTATAAATATGAACAGTTTTTACAGCTTCTTCCAGATTAGCAGGGTGAGATAAATAATGTTCCATTTCCTTCATCAGTCTTCATCAGGTAGGTAGAGACTGTTTCACCAGTTGAAGTTGTGATGAATCCTTTTCTAACAAATTCTCACTCCCAAATTGTTACAATATGTTTGTCAGTAACCTTTTGTAACATAAATAAAACATCTAATATTGACACAGGAAATGAAAATCGGGTTTCTGTCTCTCCATCCACCCAACCGCCTCCTTACTTGGACTTTTCTGAAAAATATCCGACTCTTTTTTTAAATTTTAGGCTATTTATTAATCATATTAATGGACATCTTAGCTTTTCAGCAATGTATATATGAATTAGCCCAAGGCTATTTTACATCTGTAGTCCCTCGTCAGGGAGATGCACCTACCTTTAGCATTAAAAATCGACTCACACTTGCATCATTTAGTTCGGGTGAATAGCACTAAAGTTCGTTTTCCCCTTGTTGCGGCACGGGTGCGCATCAAAAGGGGACCAAACAAGGAGGTCTCGGTACGCTTTCAAACGAACTCTGGTGCGGTTCGCTTGTGGTGTGAAAGCAAATGAACCAAACACAGGATTTTATGATAGCAGAAATGTGACCTGAGCATTATTTCCTAAGCTAAACCACTAATAAATCCATCTGCTGACAGCGACATGTGTTCAGCATCATTTATCTGTATAAGCCGCTATGTTTATAAAAATCATTTTATAAGGTATAGCCTACTTGTCAGCGCAGGTATTTCCCTGATTAATAGGTTAAAATCTGTTAGAAAGGAGTGCCAGTAGTATCTACTCCGTTTACCCTGTCATTCATTACTGACGGTGCACTATAGGCTAATAAGCCCTGAATTATTACTGTAGCCTGCTACATGTCCTGTCTTTACCGTAGCCTATTATTCATAACAGGCTATGTGGTTGATCTGCGTCTAACGTTACTAATCATGCTTATAATAATTATTAATTTGTGAGCTCTTTGCGATACAGATCAGAAGCACAAACTTCTGTCAGTCACCGGAGTTTGATTTCCCCACGTGGGTCTTGATAAATCTGTCCAATCAACAAGTCACCTGTAAGTAACGTCATGGTTACTTCTTTTGGTTTGTTTCTAAAACTGTAGTGTGAACCGGACCAGAACTGAATGCAGCAGAGTATCATTGTTTCCACTTGGTCCAAATGAACCGAACTACGGGTGTGAAAGCGCCTGTAGACATTTGTTTTGGCACTCTACTTATTTTATATTTTGTCAGGATGTATGAACATTTATTGATATTTATATATTCAGGTTTCAGCTTGTTCTGGCAGAATGTCCTTTTGGGGGTTTTCAATAAAAGCAACACTGTAATCATTTTTTCTTTATCAGTTTTATGTTGTTTCTGGCTAAATTTCACACTAATACAAAATTATTTATTTTAGAACAAAAAGTTTCCCCTCCAACAAAACGTCTCTGAAGATGTTTATTGTCTGTGCTGGCTTGAAGGTCTTTCTGTGAGATCTTTATTTTATTGTTCTGTTATTGTGCCCTCTCGCTAAATGTACCTCTGTATCTCTTATGTGTTGTATGCAGTGTTGTGATTTATGAATTATGTTGCTTTGACATTACTTTTCTATTAATAAAGAAATAAAGTCCAATGCAGTCAGACTTCTCTCTGCAGACAGTGGAGTCGCTCCCTGCTGGCTGTTAGAAAGGATGCAGGTTTAAGGCTCTTCCTTAGTTACTTCCCTTTTCAGACCCGGAGGTTCCTGGTTGGTACAGACTGTCTGTTCACTCTTCTTGCTCGTGTGGGTCTGCTTTTTATTTCTAAATTCTTTTCAGTCTTTGTTGATAGTTGTCCGTTTGCTTCCATAGAGTTGGATTTACGTTTCACTTCTGGTCCTTCTCGGATTATCTGCTTTTTCGCTTTGTGAGGAACCCTGGATGTTTAATGTGTGGGTTTTTTTCTTTTGGATGGAGCCTAATTCCCTCTGTGGAATTAGGTTAGGGTCTTGTTTTGCTGTGGACTACTTCACTTGGAGTTTTGGACATTGCACACGTTAGTTATACACTTTGTTGAATACCCAGACCTCCCCGCGTTTGTATCTGAGCACACGGCCTGAAATGTGACTTCCTGTGGTAAAACATTAAACAGCAGGTTTGAACTTGTCCACCACTTTGGGTTTATGTAGCTCAGAAGATGCACAGTTGGCTTTTCATTACTGAACTTCATTCTCTGCAATAGTTGTATTGTTTTTCTCTATTCTTTTATTATTCTTATAAAACTTGAATCTGTCTATTACCTATTTATACATTTATGTACGTCAACTGTTTGTCTAAGTGTAGCACCTTATCACCAAAGCAAAGTCCTCGAATTCCCCAAAAACTACTTGGCAACAAAGCTCCTTCTGATTCTGATTACCAAACACCAGTACAGTGGGTACGGAAAGTATTCAGACCCCTTTAAATTTTTCACTCTTTGTTTCATTGCAGCCATTTTCCAAAAATCAAAAAAGTTCATTTTATTTCTCAGTAATGTACACTCAGCACCCCATCTTGACAGAAAAAAACAGAAATGTAGAAATTTTTGCAAATTTATTAAAAAAGAAAAACTGAAATATCACATGGTCATAAGTATTCAGACCCTTTGCTCAGTATTTAGTAGAAGCACCCTTTTGATCTAATACAGCCATGAGTCGTTTTGGGAAAGATGCAACAAGTTTTTCACATCTGGATTTGGGTATCCTCTGCCATTCCTCCTTGCAGATCCTCTCCAGTTCTGTCAGGTTGGATGGTAAACGTTGGTGGACAGCCATTTTCAGGTCTCTCCAGAGATGCTCAATTGGGTTTAAGTCAGGGCTCTGGCTGGGCCATTCAAGAACAGCCACGGAGTTGTTGTGAAGCCACTCCTTCGTTATTTTAGCGGTGTGCTTAGGGTCATTGTCTTGTTGGAAGGTAAACCTTCGGCCCAGTCTGAGGTCCAGAGCACTCTGGAAAAGGTTTTCGTCCAGGATATCCCTGTACTTGGCCGCATTCATCTTTCCCTCGATTGCAACCAGTCGTCCTGTCCCTGCAGCTGAAAAACACCCCCACAGCATGATGCTGCCACCACCATGCTTCACTGTTGAGACTGTATTGGACAGGTGATGAGCAGTGCCTGGTTTTCTCCACACATACCGCTTAGAATTAAGGCCAAAAGTTCTATCTTGGTCTCATCAGACCAGAGGATCTTATTTATCACCATCTTGGAGTCCTTCAGGTGTTTTTTAGCAAACTCCATGCGGTCTTTCATGTGTCTTGCACTGAGGAGAGGCTTCCGTCGGGCCACTCTGCCATAAAGCCCCGACTGGTGGATTGCTGCAGTGATGGTTGACTTACTACAACTTTCTCCCATCTCCCGACTGCATCTCTGGAGCTCAGCCACAGTGACCTTTGGGTTCTTCTTTACCTCTCTCACCAAGGCTCTTCTCCCCCGATAGCTCAGTTTGGCCGGACGGCCGCTCTAGGAAGGGTTCTGGTCGTCCCAAACGTCTTCCATTTGAGGATTATGGAGGCCACTGTGCTCTTAGGAACCTTAAGTGCAGCAGAAATTTTTTTGTAACCTTGGCCAGATCTGTGCCTTGCCACAATTCTGTCTCTGAGCTCTTCAGGCAGTTCCTTTGACCTCATGATTCTCATTTGCTCTGACATGCACTGTGAGCTGTAAGGTCTTATATAGACAGGTGTGTGGCTTTCCTAATCAAGTCCAATCAGTATAATCAAACACAGCTGGACTCAAATGAAGGTGTAGAACCATCTCAAGGATGATCAGAAGAAATAGACAGCACCTGAGTTAAATATGAGTGTCACGGCAAAGGGTCTGAATACTTATGACCATGTGATATTTCAGTTTTTCTTTTTTAATAAATTTGCTAAAAATTCTACATTTCTGTTTTTTTCTGTCAAGATGGGGTGCTGAGTGTACATTACTGAGAAATAAAATGAACTTTTTTGATTTTTGGAAAATGGCTGCAATGAAACAAAGAGTGAAAAATTTAAAGGGGTCTGAATACTTTCCGTACCCACTGTAACTAACTGAGATAAACTCACGAGTCATTAGCAAACTGTACGTTTTAAGCGGTTGCTTACTTTAAAAAACTAACCTTCATCTGGGTGATCACAGGGAGAGGTGATTATTTGATTGACACACAGACTGACAGGAGACAGACAGAAACACTCGGAACTATTATGGCATAGCCAGCAATAAAACTGTTCAATTACTGGCATTTATAGGTGGAAAAACGTTTGGTTATTGATACCTCATTCCAGGTGTCAATCCAATTAATACTTTTTATAATATTAATAATTTAATTAATTTTACTCTAATAATTTATAGCTAATAACCAAACCTTTCTCTACCTGAATCCCAGAAGACACGCTGCAGCAGCATTAATGCTGACAAGAATATTTTTACTCTGATGCAAATATGTTTATTTCAGTCCATTTTAGTGAAGAATACAAAAAGTAACATTCAGTTATTCACAATCCAGCAGAGGAACAGTCTGGAGAGTCACTGCAGTCTCTGCTACCTGTCTCTGAGACTGTTTCTGTGAAATCATGTGACCACAGGGCGTCCTCCCTCTCTGCTGATACAAACTGATCTCTGCTCTGTCTCCTCAGCATCAGAGATCTCTGTGCAGCCAACAGGTGAACAGCAGGTGAGAGCACTTAAATACTTTAAGACGTCCAGATCAGGAGTTAACAGCAGATAGTAAGTGCAGGAAACTTGTACTTAATGTATGAAGTATTCCTCCAGACAGACAGGTGATATTTCCTCAGTAAGTGCAGCAGATGAAGTTTCACTCTGAAACATGTTGTTGATCTGTGAACTGTGAAGCTGTTTCTGTTTAAAACTCTAAACTGTCACTTCATGTCATCAGTGAGAGAGTAAACAGCCACGTGATGAAATACAGCAGTGATAGTGAAGGTCAGGGGCGATTACGGGCTGTTTGGGCCACATAAAATCACAGAGCGGGGTCAGCGCATGCTGAGGCGCAGAGTCAACAGCTACAGACCTCCAAACGTGGTGTGGCCTTCGCATTAGCTCAGGAACAGTGCATAGAGAGCTTCATGGAAGGGGTTTCCATGGCCAAACAGTTGCATCCAAGCCTTACATCAGCAGTGGTGAAGCGGTGTACTGAAAACTTTTGCAATATAGTATATAGTGATGTTCCGATCGATCGTAAAGTATCGATATTTCTGATACCAACGTTTCCTGCTCTAGGATCGATACTCATGTAAAATGATCGATATCTGAACTCACTTGAGTGAGTGTGTGTTTTATCATAAGTATCTTACTGTCACCAGGATGGTCTAATTATACTCTGTTGATAGGAACTACTTCTCCTTCCGCCTGTCAAAGTCATGCTTGCGTTATGGCTCTGTGACAGAGCTCCTTTGAAGTGAGCAGCTGCAGCTCTTTACATTTCACTTTTACATTGAATCCTGACTCTTGCTGACTGTAAAAACAGTCACGTCTGGCTGTATTTTAGCTGTGAAGGTAATAATGTTGTGTGTGATGTGTGTGCAAAGACAGTGAAATACTTTGGCAACACTGCAAACTTCGCTAAGGCTAGAATAATATTTTGAGACAAAAGTCGTAATATTAAAGAGGTGGTATTCTGCTTTTTGGCTTTGTCCTTTATTGAGTTATATTCCCTTTTATTTGTGCATGTAATAGGTTTGCAAAAAGTCCAGCCCAAAGTGAGTTCCCATCTCCCACAGAAAACTCTGCTCTGAACTGAAAACAGCTCATTTATAGTCCAGCCTTTACTTCCGCTTTCTTGTGATGTCACAAGAAAATACGTGTCATAACGCTCGCCAAACAGCTACTCCGACACGCCCTCAGAAACAGCGAGCTGCAGCACACAGCTCTCCTCTCCCTTCCAAACACTAGCTACCCTCCAGGCAGTCAGTGGACATAAAGTTGTTCCTGTGATGTAGAGACAGAGCTCAGTTAAAACTTTATGGATACAGATTAATAACTCACCGCTCTGAAACTCTCCATGTCCATGTTGCCAAGCCGGTCGGCAACACGTACGGCTGAACCCGAGCTGTTTACCGGCTTCTCGCTGACCCGCCCTTCTCTGCTTCTGATTGGCTAGTAGTCCTTTTGTTTATTTATTTAGATTTATGATTAGACATATAGTCAATAAAAATACAAGTATATCTTAAATTCACAATGCAATCTATAAAATCATTATCACAATTTTTCCAACTATTGACACACAAGCAAGATAAACAGACACACCTCTGTCTATATTTGTCTCTCTCTTACCCCTGCCATCGCCTCCCTCATCCTTTCCCCATTAATGTTTCCTTCTCAAATTATTTCCCACACTTTTTTGAACCTGGTATCTTGTTTCCTCTGTGAGCGTCTCCCTCTTATTTTCTGGTAGCAGTCAGCCTTGGCAGCGGCTGCAGCTACAGCAGGTCAGTCGTAGTGAGTCAGTCCCAAATACTGTCAGCAATCTTTCCATCTTGTCATGGTCACATATTTGTTTCATCAGCTATAATATATATCTTATGTTTGTTTTAATATCTGTAGTCACAGATCACCTCCAGTAGCATCAGCAGCAACAACAGCAGCAACCACCCCTCGCCAGCAACTGTTCCCTGTAAGTTATGTCAGCCCACAGTGTTTTAAAGCTAGAGCTGGGTATTCACTGTGTCCCAGCATTTGCTGATGTATCGATACAGAAGCATCACTATACGCATATCAGCAAGGAATACATCACAATATATTTCTGTATCGATATTGTCAGAACAGCCCTATTTAAATCCTTGTTCCATGAGCACCTTTTATACTTTGAGCACCGGCTGCTCAGAGGTCTCTGCACAGCCCTGGTCATAATAGTCTGCCCCTCTGCTGTGCATTACTGCTCTGCTGATATGGTAGGCTATCCCCTTTATGGCACATTTCTACTCCTGCGTAGGGTCTACGTGCGTAGCCAGGCATTTATACTTATGCATCGGTGTCTCCGTCATTCTGCAATTACATCCCCAAACACTAGCTGCCAGTAGCACTACAGCATACACTGTGTTGACTTTAGCCGTCCGAGCAGGCTAACTTCCGGTTTAGCCCTCCGCTAACATGAATGGGGGTTAAATTATATACATTCAGCTGCTGTAGACATTTCAGATGTTATCGACCGAATGGATCACATTCTGATAGTGAAACGAGTCATTTCGCTCGGGTTGTGATGGTCAAATACATTGATCCACCGTGTTACAGCCGCTGGTTTGGCCACTTGTAAAAGTTACTTCAAAGCACGGGGCACTTCCTGTCGATTCGGAGGCATTGCGAGGCTACCCAGCCGACCAATCACAGCGGTCTGGTGTGTCATGTTATTCTCTCGCTACTTTGCAGTGGACTGTTATCTGTTTGTACAGCAAATAAACTGACCAACAACATTTAAAGGTTCACTGTGTAAAATTTCTGAGGATCTATCGACAGAAATGCAATCTATAACTATGTTTTCAGTGGTGTGTAAAGACCTTACATAATGAAGCGTTATGTTTTTATTACCTGAGAATGAGACATTTATATCTACATAATGAATCATCATGTTTCTACAGTAGCTGAAAAAGACAAAAAGACAAACAGCGCTACAGAACGCGTTTTGCGTTTTTAAATACAGTCTATGGTTTCGTCACTGCGTTTTTCTTCCACTTCTTCAGGCAGTGCAGACACTCATCATTATGCTGAATACACATGTTAGAAGAAGAAGTAGTAGTAATATACAGCAGGGGTCTAAAATAAGTTTTGCATCAGAACAATATTTTCAACCATTAGATGGAGGATGAGAATATAAGCTATAAAATGACCTTGCATCAACATGTTGGTCAGTTAGCTCAGTCGGTAAGGCGCAGGACTCACAACCCAAGGGTTGAGGTTTTTCTCTCTTCAACAAATGGATTCTGCAGCGAATGTTTCTCAGATCACGGCATGTGCTGCACTGTTTTTTTCCCCGGTGTTTGATCCACATCCATCAACCCACAGACGCTTTTTCATTTCTCTGTATCTCCAGGCAGAGGACATTTAGGGGAATCACATTTTTCTGTCGGCTCTTTCAGAGTTGTGTCAAGCAGCTAAAGACTCTTTTAATGTCGTTCAGAGTTTTTCAAAGTAAAAGCTCAGTTCAACTCCAGATACATCATTATAGTAAACGAGCTCCTCACACCTTTATTTTTTAGGCAAAACCACTAGAGGAAGTGATTATGTGAGTAACTGTTGCTGCCATGACTGAGATCTATTTTTAAGCAAAGATTTATTTATTTATATTTTTTGTTGCTATCAAAGCACCATAATCTGGCAGTGGGCCAGATATTATTGTTGGCGGGCAGTTTTGGCGAGGGTCCATAATAATGATTAGACGAGAAAAAATAAATGGATTTAGTCCAACAGGATCTGACTGTGTTTAGTTTGTGATGTGGGGGAGGGAGGGAGCTGTTGTACTCAGCATGAGACACCAGGGGGCGTCCTCACTCCACAGAGAGAATTAATGTGTCTCCCTTGTCAATGTTTGTATAAACTTTATTTAATATGTGGTTTATAATGGACTGTGATGCAGAAACAGTGACAGTGTTTCACACTATTGGCTTACATTTTCCATGTTGTCTGTCAGTGTCAGAGTCACAATAATATCTGGTTTTACTGAATAATTCAGTAAATATCATTTTTTAATAAATCTACCTAAAGAAACCTCATATCTTGACTGGCCACTATCTGCTGTCTCAGAAGAGACACCTTTTGTGCTGTGTCAGCCACCGTAGCTGTCCTACGCTCTTTAGGGGGCAGTGGTAGACTGGATAGATGGTTGCAATTCACAACCGTCACCACTAGATGTCACTAGATGTTACACACTGAACCTTTAAGATCCAGTACCTGCTGACAGCTGCTGATAACAGCAGCACAGCTGACAGGAGGTCACTGATTGTTTTTCTTTCATCCAGAGAACCAATAAGCTGCTGTCAAGCTGTTACCATGGCAACGTGAGTAAAACTAGTTTCTACAACAACACAGAGTTTCAGAGTTTATTTTCTTGTTGAAATGCATCACGCTGCTGAATCCCATTTTACTGCATGATGTGAACATTTACAACGTGAGCAGAGTTAAGAGTGAAAACTGGAAAAGTGTCAGATTGATGTGATTATAGAAACAATTCAAATCTAAAAGAACCAGACTTTTATTATTTTATGAAACGTTAGAAGGACGCAGGTAGAAGTTGGAGAGGGAGCTTATAAAGGAAGAGTTTCATGGTCCATTACATTAAAACATTACAGCTTTATTAACCAGCCTCTGATGTACAGATACAGCATCTGAGTGTGTGAACAAACATCTACATCAGAAGTGCCTTGTTATATTCTTCATTAGCAGAAATTAATGCACAGCTGCCAGATAATAAAGGACAGTTCTTGGTGGTATAAAGACACTGAACTGCTTTAATGTGAGGTGGGGTAAGCAAGTAGAGTGATTTTATTTATTTAATTCTATGTTCAGCTCATGTCTTTACTTTTCTACAGGAACAGCTCATCCAAATATGACAACATAATTTCCAAAAGTGTTCTGATCCGATCAGGACCTCCTGCTGTCTACCAGCTGAGACCAAAGAAAGAGAACATTGGATCTCTAAGAAGAATGACTTTTGGTGAAAGAAATGTGAACAAGATAAACAAAACCATCTTGCTTGTGGGTGAAACAGGAGCAGGAAAATCTACTCTGGTCAACGCTCTGGTCAACTACGCCATGGGAGTGAAGTGGGAGGATGATGTCTGGTTTCAGATCGTAGAGGACGAGAAGAAGAAAGAGGATGGGGAGAACGAGGACGAGGAAAGAAGCCAAGCAGAGAGTCAGACATTAGATGTGATGGTGTACCAGATCTTTGGTTTTGAAGGTGAAACTCTGCCCTACTCTCTGACCATCATCGATACTCCTGGATACGGAGACACCAGAGGAATCAAACATGATGACATCGTCAGTCAAAGATTATTAGACTGGTTCCGCTCAGGAGAAGTTCATGAGATGAATGCAGTGGGTCTGGTGCTGAAAGCAACTGAGAATCGACTGAGTGACCGAATGAGGTACATCTTTGATTCAGTGGTGTCTCTGTTTGGAAAAGACATGGAGAAGAACATTGTTGCTCTCATCACACACTCAGATGGTCTGACACCTGAAAATGTTCTGAAAGCTCTCAAGACTGGAAAAATTAAATGTGCCAGAAATGAAAAGAATCAGCCTGTTTACTTCCTGTTTAATAACCGCCAGGATAAAGACAGAACAGAGGACACAGAAGCCCTTCAACATGCCGATAAAATAACAACCAGAGGAATGAGACAGTTCACAGAGTTTCTGGAAAAAACTGCACCTCAGAATCTGAAGACAACTGTTGAAGTGTTGAATTCACGAATCAGACTGACAGCCTGCATCCAAAACCTGAAAGAGAGAGTTGAGTTCACTGAACTAAAACAGAGAGAAAACCAACAGACTCAGGAAGCTCTGAAGAAATATGAAGAAGAGATGAAGAGAAATGAAGAATTCACTGTAGAAGATGATGAGATCTACAAAGTTAAAGAAAATATTGATGGTGGAAGGAGGTGGTTGTGGATGAATTATGAAGCAGCTGTCTGCTGTACAGTCTGTGAGGAGAACTGTCACTATCCTGGATGCACACTGGCCTGGTATCCTGAACACTGTGAGGTCATGAAAGGTGGCCGCTGCACTTCATGTACCAGGAAGTGTCCTGTATCAGATCATGTGAAAGAAAAGTGGATCTATGTGACCAAGACAAGGAAAGTTCAGAAGACCCAGCAAGATGTGAAAGAGAAGTATGAAAGAGGTAAAGCAGGCTGTGAGGAGACAACAAGCCTTTTGGAAACTTTAGAAAAGCAAATGGAAAAACTTCAGAAAGATAAAGATCAGATGTTGGAAAAGTCCTTTGAACATGTTGTCAGACTGGATCAGATCGCCCTGAATGTTGATTCACTGTCCACTCATGTCCACTTGGACTTCCTGATTGAGAAGATGAAGGAGAAAGGAGACGCAGAGAAGGTCCAGAAACTGGAGGAGATTAAGAGTCGAGAAGGTAAAGGAACCAGAGCAGGACTGCGGTACATGTCTGCTAAACTAACAGCAGCTGGTAAAGCTGTTAAAGCAGCAGTGATGTAGCAGGTGAACACCATCAGTGTGAGCAGCAGCTGTGTAGAAAACAAGCTCTACACTGTTGATCCAGATGTTTAAACATCACAAAAGCTTTTTCATTCTAGTTCTATGAAGTGTGATGATGATGTCATAAGTTCATGAGGAAATTCAAATGTAATCACCTTTTAAATGTCAGATGTGTACTTCCTGGAAACAGCGCCCTCTGTGGTGTGGAATGACTGCTGCTCTTCTTGTACTTCCATGTTTGCTCACCAATAGTGAGTTCAGTGTGCAGATTATCATCAGTGCTGAATCATGGCAGCAGATTTATTTGGTGTTGAACAGCTGTTAGTTTTCTCTTCTAATCATGTTTTCTCCACTATGATTGTGTTTGTGCTTGTATGAATAGACGTGTCTTATATATCCACCATGATGTCACAATGTTGAAGCTGTTGGGAAATTAAGTGAACTCATTATAAAGGAGTTTAGCCTGGAGGGGGGTTGAAACCTCTTCCTGTGTTCTGAGAGTGTTAATAATATATCTTAATATCTTTCTCAATAATAAAGAAGATTACAGTTAATGTGTGTTGTATCAAAGTCCTATAAGAGCTGAGGACAGACTGCCTCTCCTCAGTCACACCTGTGTAATGCTGATGATGCTCTGACCTGCAAACAATAAAGATCTGCTGACATTATGAATATTGTGTCATCTGGGATTTGAGTTCCAGCTCTCATCTGCACTAGACAGCAGTTTAATAATGGCAATAAACAAAATCCAAAAGGCAGGAAATCCAAGACACAGGTAAACACAGAGAAAGGGCCGCTACGCTCGAGCAGAAGACAAAGACAAACTGGCTGAAGACAAAGGAAGCAGGCAGATTTTGAGTTCCTGTTTTATTGTGAAAGGGTTTGTCTTGTACGACTGAAAGGGCAGAAAGAGACAAAGATTCCTCTGAGCAACAGTTAAATAAGAATATAAGAAGTTTAAATATGAACAGCTTCCTGTTTCAGGGTCAAGTTCACAGTAACGTCTATAAGAAGCTGGAATTAACAGACGTCTCTTCTGTCAGGCAGCACTGCGGGGACATCAACTAAATGGACGTTTTAATCATTTAATTCTTCTTTTGGGGCCAAAACTATTTCAAAATAAGCATTTCCTGAAAACATCACTATAGCAGGTGATTCCAGCCTTGAACTGTAGCGAACATATAAAAGTGTTTTCTAAATCAGTGTGCACAGAGGACGTTCCAGAAGAGAAGTCAGACAGAAAGCTGCTGCTGTGTTTGTGAAGAGTCCTGAAAGCTGATGTCCTCTGATGGATTTCTACGCTGCTTTCTTCCTGTGTCTTCGTGCTCTGAATGACTAGTTCAGATATTTCATGTGGAAACATGTTGATCCTTTATGTTGAGCTTTAGTTACATGAAAGCATCCTGAGTGCTGCAGCTTCCTGTGAGCTTCATGAAATCAGTTTGCTCAGAGTGTCTTCACTGGATCAGCAGCAGCTTTTGGACTCTGCTGAAGCTTCTGCTGAACTTTCTTCTGTTTCTCTTTGGGAGTTTGTGACGAGCAGCAGGTCTGACAGAGATTGGTTCTAGCTGATGTTTCATCACGTGATCAGCTCTGTTGGTGATGCTTCCTGTAGTGACCACTAGAGGGAGCCAGCACTGCATTACTGAAGGCCTTCTGCTGAGTGGACTGAGCGCACTCTGCTGAACTAAAGCAGGAAACACAAACCTGCAGCCCTGCAGAGACCTGCAGGTCCACCTCATGTGGAGTTAAGATTCAATTGGTTTGTAATTTATCGGTTATTTAACCAACTAACTAAATAAATTGCTGCTAACCTGATAATCAGCTATAATCTCCTTGATAAATGTGTTTTTATATAAAACAATCTCAACTCTTTCTGTTTCTGCATTATCTGTGATTAATGATTGGTTATGTTATTGAATTTAATTCTTAACCCCCTGTGTGCCTGGCCGTTCCCTCAGATCTGCTGGTTGTTTAGAAATGACACTTTGCTACAGTGTAAAGTAGTGAGTGTACAGCTTGTATAACAGTGTAAATCTGCTGTCCCCTCAAAATAACACATCACACAGCCATTAGTGTCTAAACCGCTGGCAACAAAAGTGACTACACCTAAGTGAAAATGTCCAAATTGGGCCCAAAGTGTCAAGATTTTGTGTGGCCATCATCAGGGCTTGACATTAACTTTTTTGCTCACAAGCCAATGTGGCTTGTGGTTTTCCAAAGTTTCTAGCCACGCTGCATTTTCACTAGCCACATTTTTGTTGTTGGAAAATATTAAAGTTGACAATGGCATACTTTAATTGGCATGCTAAAATGTACTAATATTGTCATTAGCTCTGATAAGGTTGTGTGTAAAGCTCCTGTTTTTGAAAACATGTAATCTATTAAGATAAACACATAAAAGAGTAGCTTGAAATCATGAATGAAACTACTCCAATCCTATTGGCGTTGCTAGAACGGTAGCGTGTGACAGCGTAACTGGAGGTTTATATAAGCACGCTGCCATACCGGAAACATTAGCTCTTTGCTATGAAGCAAGGCACTCCAGGCGGGGCGAGGTGTGGCCGACCGACGCAGTGTCTCTTTCCCCTTCTCGGGGAACATGGGTTACATACGTAACCTGAGACGTTCCCGTTCGAGGAAACTTGAACTGCGTCAGTGACGACACTATGGGAATGAGATACCCACTATTCCACGCCGAAGCCTCCGCCTGCCCCACAACGTGCAGTAACGCGTAGGCACGACTAAGAGGAGAGCGCACGGGTGCCGGGTGCAGAAGGAAGGTCCAGACTGTAAAACTGGATGAAAGCCCCTACGAGGAGGGCCCTAGAGGCCGCCATGCCTCGAGTAGAGTGTGCCCTTACGGCCATAGGTGAAGGTACGATCCAGTTGCTGATCGTGTGTTTAGAAGCGGGGAGCTCAGCCTTGGGGGACCCGAAACACACCAGCAACTGGTCTGCTTTCCTCCACCGGGAGGACCTCAGAGTGGAACCTTAGGGACATAGCCCGGACAGAGGTGCAGGATGGCTCTGTCCCTCCCCGGGGCAAACTACAGGCATTTAGGAGAAACCGAAAGTGCCCCCACCCCACCCTCTTCACAGGTGATAGCGAGGAGGAGAAGGCCATCTTAAGGGTCAGGTGCTTGGCCTCAGCCGACTCCAGGAGTTCGAAGGGGGCCTCAGCCAGGTCTTCAAGAACCACTGCCGGGTCCCCAGTGGGAACCCTGGAATGAGTCACGGGTCTCAAGCGCACGACCAGTGGAAGCCTCCCCAGAGGCCTCAGAGGGGCTCGGAACGCTGCCACATACACGGCCAGCAGAGAAACGGTCCTGGAGGAACTCCCAGGAACCAGTCTTTTCAACCACTGGCCCAACCACTCAAAGCGCTTTTACACTACATCTGCATTCACCAGTCACACACATTCATACACTGAGCCTAAGTGCTCAAACAGAAACTAACATTCACACACAATTCGGGGTTCAGTATCTTGCCCAAGGACACTTCGACACACAACCAGGGGGAGCCAGGGATTGAACCGCCGACCTTCCGATTAAAGGCCAACCCGCTCTACCTCCTGAGCCACAGCCGTACATCCTTCTCATGGACGGGGCTCTGGAGCTGAGCAGCGTCTCGACTGCTCCTGTCGTCAGGCCCGCCTCTAGGAACTGCGCCCCCTCAGGGGCCAGACCCATAGCTGCCACAGGACGGGGCGCGGGTGAAAGGCCCGGTCCTCCGCCTGGGACAGCAGGTCTCTCCTCAGAGGGACCTGCCAGGGCGGGCCCTCTAGGAGCAATATTATGTCCGAGAACCACACTCGGGCCAGCCAAAAAACGGAGCTACTAACAGTGACACCGTCCTGATGGACCCCCTCCAGAACCCCCAGGGGCAGAGCAACTGGGGGGAAGAGCATACAGACGCAGCCTCGGCCACGTCTGCACCATGGCATCCAGCCCTCCGGGACCGCAGATCCAAAATCGGACGCAACCCATCTGTCCTTCTTGGGAACTATGAAGTACCGGCTGTAGAACCCGGACTCCCTGACTGGCGGGGAAATGAGTTCTATGGCCCCTTTCTCCAGCAGAGAGCGAACTTCTTGTCCCAACACCTGGCTCTGCCCCGCGTGCACCGGCCACCTCGGGGCTGGTGACCGGTGTTATGCGTAGGTCCCCGGTAGCACCCTGAAGCGGAGGACCGCCAGGGAAAACTCGCCGGCGACCCACGGTGTGTGAGCCCGATCGTTTTCCAGCTGCAACCCCTCGAGGCAGGCAGACTGGTGAGAGCTCGCTGGCGGCTACCGTGTCCCGAGCGCCAAGACGGCGGGAAAAACAGCGCCTGTTGCCTGAGCCGCCACGAGGGAGGGGACTTTGGTCAGCCTCTCGGGGGCTGTGGGCGAGAGCGCCACCTCGCGTCCCAGGTTTGTTGATGGGGGACTGCAGGAAGCCGTTGCCGTCCTGGACCCAGACTGGCGGGGGAAATACTTTTTGAGTAGTCTCGAACATGCCAGAGTGCCTGCTGAATAGAAAAAAGCTAATGTGTCCGGTGTGCCGGCGTGCTTATATACGCCTCCAGTTACGCCGTCACACGCTACTGTTCTAGCAACGCCAATAGGATTGGAATAGTTCATGATTTCAGCCCTGCCACACCCAGAGGCGTTCCCATAGTGTAGTCCCTCAAAGGGGAACTCTGTGTAACTGGAGATACGTCCACCTGAAACGAGTATACAGGTCTTTATTTTCCAGATTATTCCCATACAAACACATCTCCTGCTTTCCTACATGACATGATGACTTTTATTAAAAAATTTAATCAACTGTGGAAAGGTAGTTGTGATATGATGATTTGATGTGATATGCGAGCAGCCCTGCTAGTAGTAACACCACGTCCCTAAATCATGAAGATATCTGTAATTTCCCAGCATTTAACAACCCTTTCCTCCTGCATTTCCCCTGTCTCAGCTCTACCTATTCTTTCTCTCATTCTGCTGTGCATCTTTTCTCCACACTGGTCGGCCACGCACACTCACACACTGACTGAACGCTGTGTTGATGTGTGTGTGCATGTGACCTGTCGCGTGTGATGACAGAGATCACACCATCAGGTTAAAAGCAGGCGGGAGGCTGACGGTCTACAGGTCTGAGGGACTGTGGCTGCCCTGTAACAGATTGAACTTTAATATTCTCTCATATTTAGCGTGCACCACTGCTCCGTGCGGTGGCACTGCAGGAAAGAGTGAGGTTAAGTAGATAATTAACGGCAGTCTAAAACAATCCTCAGTCCGACAGCCAGTCCGCGAGTTTAATCTCCACAGCACCAACTTGTTTACAGTGTTGTCGGTGAAGATAGGTTTCACGAGTGGACCAATGAGCAAACACTATGTGCAGGTAGTACTCATGGAGTTGTAGCGTCATAGTGTCAAATAGCAATTAATTTGTTATTTCAGATGCCTTCTGAAAAGACCACAAATTCACACAGTCACAGTCACTGACTGTGTTACCCGCCACGGATGAAATCCACCAGCATTTGATTTGACGGGTGTTAATGTCAAGCCTTGCCACCATTATTTTCCAGCACTGCCTTAACCCTCTTGTGCATGGAGTTCACCAGAGCTTCACAGAGCTTCCTCTTCCACTCCTCCATGACGACATCACGGAGGTGGTGGATGTTTGAGACCTT